GAGAGTGAGTTACTTAATACCGTCAAAACTGAAGAAAAAGGCAGATTCTTACTTCAAATGCGAATCTCTCGGCGAAAATCATCGTATCAAGATGCATAAAAAAGCATTTTAAAGAGGAGACTCTGTACTTTCGTACGCTTTTGATCCCAATAAGCTACAATTTTTTGTTTATACCGTGCACCGTCGCAAACTCGAACCATTATTTTTCAATTTTGCATGCTCGCGCTTTGTCATCCGCCATTTTCAATAAATTTATTTTGCAACATTGAAATAAATTGATTCTTAAAGTAGAGATTTTTAGCTTCATTTCCATATTTTATAGAACTTTCTATCTTTATTATTTACGAAGTTATCGTCAGTTGAAATTTGATGAATTTTTCCCACATTTTCAGTGTACCGCTTTTTTTTCGGGTGTAGTGTATATTATGTTGCTATTATGATATGTATATATTATGATTATATTTGTAATATAATTATTCATATTTCTATAGAGGGCACCAAAGTTGCAATTATATCGTTAATGCCTCATTTGTTCCCTGTAATCACGATTAAAAAAGGTAAACCAAGAGATTGGAGACCTTCTAGGGAAGAATGTGAAGAAGCATTTCTTTTACATGTGAAGGTAAATATACAATTAAATTGATTTTACTTTTCAATCTTTCTTTTTTTATGTTGCATTTTTTGTTGAATTAAAGCTTATATACCATATTATAAGTTAATTATTTTAATATTATTCTAAAAATACGTTAATATTTTGCAGACGATTACTGATTTGGATGCAAGATTAGAAGAGCGTACGAAAAAATTGCGATCATTTGGTGTGACCTCGCAGCCCATTACAGTGATAGTTGGTCCCAGCTTTGATGAAATTCATCAGTGCTTTGTTGTAATCAACAACTTGCGATATGAAGTAGAAACACCACTGAAAGGTAGACCTCGTTTTTAAAATATGTACTGCTTTAAATATTGAATATCCTCTCGAAATAAGGCAACTCTTCATGTTTTTGCAAAGAGCTGTATACAATTTTGAAACTTTGTGGGATAAGCATAAAAACTCTCAACTCACTTGTAGTGTTCTTGCTTTGATTAAAGAATACAAAAGATTATAAATCTTTTTTCCAAAAGTATTTCATTAGCGTCATGCCTAAGTGTTTTTTATGTAAAAAAACAGAAACATCTGTCAATGGTTTATTTATGCATTTTGATTTTAAACATCGTGCTCATTCATTCACAGTTTTTAAATGTGGTGAAAATGGATGTTATCGACAATGGTCGTTGCGAAATTCATTGCGAAAACATTTAGTTGGACCTAATCATAATTTTCCTGCTTGGTCTACTATTAAGTCTACTCATGAACATCGTATTGATTGTAATAACGCTGAAATTTTTAATGAATGTATTAACCAGGTTAATACAAGTAATTCTGATATATTATCAACAGAAATTGGTGCCAAAAATTATTTGCGTGAAATAACTCTTATTGACAATGAGTCTATTATAAAAGATCGCAGTAATGCTTTTGTTGCAAAATTATATAATAAACCTTCAATCCCACGAAACCATATTCAATCCATTATTGATGATATTATATTTCTAATAAGTCGCCATAGTTCCATTTTAAAAGAAAAAATTGTTTCACACTTAAATACACTTGGTTCTGATAATGAAACAATGAAAGATATAACATCAATATTGGATTGTCTAGAACATTCATTCAACCATCTTCAGAATGAGTACCAACGTGTTAAATATTTTAAGTCTTCTACTAATTATATAGCTCCTATTAAGTATTGCATAGGTAACAGAAGGGTATGTAAAGATACTGGATCATTTCTTGTTGAAAAAGTTAAAGACGTTTATAGTTATTTCATACCTTTGAGACAGGTATTACAACAATTTTTTGAACTGCCTGATGCATTTACTGCTACAATGCATTACATTAATTCACTTAAAGATTCAGATAGTGTAAAGAACTTTATTCAATCTAAACTTTGGTGTCAGAAGAGAAAGAACTTTGACAGTAATGCTACTGTTTTACCACTTTTTATTTATTATGATGATTGGGAAGTGAATAATCCATTGGGATCTCATAGTGCTGCTCTTGGAGGAGTATATTGTTACTTACCCTGTCTGCCACTTGAATGCATATCTCGTTTGGAGAATATTTTCTTAGTTCTCTTGTTTCAATCTCAAGACCGAAAAGAATTTGGGAACAAACAAATATTTGCACCTTTGATTGAGGAGCTTAATTTTTTAGAACAAAACGGGATAACAGTTACTATAAACGGTAATATCCATAAAATCTACTTTGTACTAGGTTTACTATTTGGCGACAATTTAGGACTCCATGCTATGTGTGGTTTTCTTCAAAGTTTTCGTGCTAACTATGCATGTAGATTTTGCAAATTACATCGCACTCTTTGTGGAACTACCTGTCTTGAAGACGAAACTGTTCTCAGAACACATACATCTTATGTAACTGATTTAGCCTTAGAAAATAGTTCACTTACTGGAATTACAGAAGAATGCGTCTTTAATGAAGTCAATTCATTTCATGTGACTGATAATGCTTATGTTGACATCATGCATGATGTTTTAGAAGGTATTGCTCACTATGATATGATTCCAATAATAAGTCATTTTATTGACATCGGTGATTTTAACTTGTCAAATCTCAATCACAGTGTGCAAATGTTTCATTATGGTCCTGGTGTACAAGATAAACCACCTTATATTGATAATGATTTTGCAACAAAAAGCAAACTAAAAATGACAGCCTCAGAAATGTTTATCTTTTGTAGACTTTTCGGTGTTATTATTGGACATTGTGTGAAATCATATAATGATCCATTTTGGAAATTGTATTTGTTATTAAAAGAAATTCTTGAACTTTTGCAAAGTAGATCAGTGTCAGACGATTTTGCTTCTGCATTTAAAGTATTAGTTTTGGAACACCATAACCAATATATGAAATGCACGAACGAACGTTTAAAACCAAAACATCATCATCTTGTTCACTATTCACGCGTCATGATGCAATCTGGTCCACTTATTTTATTATCTGCGATGAGGCTTGAAGGATTTCATAAAGCTCTTAAGAAAATTGCTAAAGTTATAACGTCAAGAAAAAATATTGCTTTTTCCATTGCTACTCGTTATCAACTTTCGTTTTGTTATAAACTAATGGCTCAGGAAAGTATTATTCCAACTTTTGAAGTAGGATCAGGAAATATTAATATTACTAAACACGATCGCTTTAACTATTTTGCACCATTCTTGCCAACTAATATACTTCGTGATCCACATTCTTTTATTACAAACTTTGTTAATTATAAAGGCACTCGGTATCAATCCAAAATGGTATTGGTTTGTGGAACGGACGAAAATTCCTGTCCTATTTTTGCAGAAATTCAACACATTATTCTTCATCAAAATAATCTTTTTTTTATTTGTTTCTCTGTTCTAAATATGGGCCTTAATTGTGATATTGGTGGTTTTGAAGTAGAACGAAGTACTAAGTGGATTTTTATTAAATATGAAGACTTATTGGATCCTTTTCCTTTGTTCATTTATACTATGGCAACTGGTGAGCGATATATTATTTTACATCATCCTGTGTGATATTACTTTTCACCTAATGTCATACTTTCCTGAGTCTGTTTACATGTTTATGTGTGTAATACAATACCATATATTTTATATGAAGATATTTTATGTTAAAATGAGTAAATTTTTTTATTTATTAATTTTATATGAAAAGAGCACACACGTTATATGCGTTATTGTTAAGTACTTATAATATTAAATATAATTTCGTAATACTAAGTAATCTCTTTTACAATACACTTATAATACTTTTTCAACAAAATTTGTTTTTGCAATGTATATCGGCGTAATTTTGTATTTTAGTGTATTAGTTATGTATAATAAGAATTAGTACTCATATATGTATAAGGAAGGTAAATATAAAAATATAATTTTGCATGTGTGATTTTACTTTTTCCTTATATTTTTTAGCCTCCATAAGTCAATAAAATTATTTAACTATCAATTATAGCTACCGTTTATACCATTTTTACTGCCATTGATATTATTTTAGCTGTGGGACAAACCTCGAATATAAACGTCATTTTGGGTAGATTTGCTGACATAGCTAAAATATTAGCAATGATACCAAAACTTACAGCTCTAACAGCTAAACAATGTGCGCGTCACAACTAATTGTTGTTATGCATACTGCCATAGCTATTTTCTGCAGTGTGTACTGCAGCTAAATCTTTAGCTGCCACAGTTACAAGCCTTTCAGCTAATAAAAATAGATCTCGCAACAACAACTTTAGGTGTCCCTATAATACAAGCGAAGTTTAGTTACAGGACCTAGTTTTTAGCTGTGACAGTTAAATTTTTTTTTCCGTGAAGAACTGGGCAACGTTTATCCATCTTTAGGTTTCGTTCAGAAATCGTGAACATTGGCCATCAAGTTCGGAAGAAAAAAAAATGGCTTTTAAATCGGACCTATATATCGAGAGAGAACCGCTCACCCCCCGGCAGGTTCGCCCCCGCGGAATAGAGCGGTTTAGAAGACACGCGATGCATCCATCCAGGCGTAGGATGTACAGGAACGTGACGTGACACCGGATCCGCCTCCGGTTGCTCGCTCGGTCCGAAGCAATTCAGCCGGCATCGCTCGGTTATTACCCCTCGAGTAACTTCTCTCGGGTGTTCCTCCCTTTCCGAGACGCAGCGGCGTTTCCTCCCGCTTGACAGGCGGACAAATCGTCTCTCTCGCTCGCCGCTGTCCGGAAATTCTCCCACGATTGCACTCGGGAATAATGCGAGAGCCAAGTGCACGGCGTTTTGCGCACGACGAGTCTTCGCTTGCTCGCGAGCTCTGACCTCGACGATGATTGCCGATCCGAGGGGATCGAAGTGTAACTATCGGGGCTGGGACGTACGCTGTTTGTCAAATAACAAGGAGCGAAACATTGTAGTAAGGCACTAGATATGTAGGTATTCTCATCCGCCATTTTGGTTCCTACTAGATGGAGAATTATAGCGTATATAGTATAGCAGTGCTCGGAATTAGTCTGAACATTTCAGCCGATTTCCGTGGTATACGCCTCCTTTCCTCTCCTTACCGCGCGCGCCGCAGCCGCTAGGGCCAGCGCCGCCGAGCGTTAGGAGCGGCACTATCTGATTAGATTCTATGAGTAGGTTCTTCTCCCTATTTATTAAAATTTAAAAAAATTTATTAAATTATTAAAATAAATTTTTAAATTTATTAAGTGGAAATATTTCAATAGATTTCTACGTCACCCATGAGGTACTAA